GCCCCATATCCCCTCTCTCCTTGCTGCTGCTGCTGCTGTTGCTGTTGCTGCTGCTGCTGCAGGGTTGCATGCTTCCGTGGTCGTCGTGTGTCCTCATTAGGGGGGCCCCCTAGCAGGTTAGATAGGAATGCAATAAGAAAGGAATTCCCTGTTAAGGGAGAGGAGGAGCTAGCTACTCAGCTAGCTGCTGCTTGTGAGTTTATTGAGCAGCAGCAGCAGCAGCAGCAGCAGCAAGAACTGCAACAGCAGCAGCAACAGCAACTGCAGCAACTGCAGCAACAGCAGCTACTGCAGCAGCAGCAGCAGCAGCAGCAGCAGCAGCAGCAAGATCAAGGGCATCTTAGCTTCAGCGAAGACAGTACAAGTCCTCAGGGGGCCCCTGTAGATGGTATAGTACGTCGGAGCACGGGGGCCCCCTCTACAGACCATCAAGGCATACTATCTGTGGGGGGCCCCCCACCGTCTGGGGGCCCCCAGATAGAAGAGGGTACTAGTATAGATATGCAGGTACAGGCCCTCAAGCCTTTTGCCTATCCTTGTATATCATGGAGTAGGGTTAAGAAATGTTTTTGTCTACGTATCTTCCAATTACCTCATTCTCCTTCTCCCTTGGGGGCCCCCAAGTACCCTGGGGGGCCCCCTATGGGGGCCTCAGGGGGCCCAGGGGGCCAAGGGGGACCCCAGACAGACCCAGGGGCCCCCAGAGGGGCCCCCAGAAAAAGAAGAGGTAAACTACTATACAGCAAAACATTCAGTATTAAGACTTATGGGGGCCCCCAGGGGGCCCTTGCTGCAACATATAAGGCAGCAAAAGCAGTAGGGTACGAACCCTTAAGACCCTTAGATGGGGACCCCTTAATTGAGGGGGGCCCCCCAACAGTTGGGGCCCCCAACACAGACATCTTGGGGGCCCCAGCAAGAGAGGCTCTGGAAGGTCCCCCTGGGGGCCCCTCTGAGGGGCCCCTGCAAGCTGGTACCCATGTCGAGAGGGATGGGGGCCCCCACTGCCTACCCTTTGACGAAGAAAGGGCCCCTGGAGGGCCCCTGAACTCAGAGGGAGCCATGTTTGCTGGGGGGCCCCAAGGAGAAGCAGGGTACGGCCATGAGGAGACAGCAGCAGCAGCTGCTGCTGCTGCAGACGACAACTCATCAATGGGGGCCCCTAAGCGTGAATGTGCAGAAGGGGACACCGAGGGGCCCCCGACTGAAGATGGTACTGAAGAGGGTACTGCGGTACAAACAAGGATGCAGACAGAAGAGGAGGGCAGGGGGCCCCCCCTTCAGCAGCAAGTGATGGGGGGCCCCCTATACCATGGTGCCCTTCCAACAGCCACTCCCTGCAGCAACAAAGAAGGGACTTCCTTGGGGGGCCCCCCTGACAATAGGGTAGTTGAGGGGGGGGCCCCAATCCCTCATATACCCGAGCAGCTGTACCCTTCTGTCCCCTACGGAACAGCAGCAGAAGGGGCCCCTAGTTCAGCCGCTGATGCTGCTGCTGTTCCTACAACTACAACAGCAGACGGACCAGCAGCAGCAGCAGCAGCAGCAGCAGCAGCAGGGAGCGTTGAGCATAAGGGGCCCCTCTTTGCTTCTGGGGGACCCTGGGGGCCCCCTCTCAGCGACAAGGAGGAGGAGATGGGGGGGCCCCCAGCCTTGCCTGAGGAGGCCCCCTCTAAGTACGATTCAGTGGACCCATGGCGTCCCTGTGAACCCTCTCCTGAGGGCCCCAGGGGCCCCCCGCAGCAGCAGCAGCACCAACAGCAGCAGCAGCAGCAGCCGATGTACCAGGGGGCCCATCGCGGTGCCTGGAGGGGGGCCCCCAGGGGAAGCAGCAGTATGAGGTCCCTAGAACAGCAGCAAAGGGACAGATGGGCGGGGGCCCCTTCATCCAACATAGGCAACAGGGACCCAAGGGGCCCTTGGGGGCCCCCCAGGGACAGGGAGGGGGCCTCCAGAAGCAGGGGGCCCCACAGGGAAAATAGTGAGGCCCCTCGTTCCTTGGATGCAGCAGCAAGATCCAACAGCAGCAGCAACAACCAGCAGCCAAAGCATCTGCAGCAGCAGCAGCCGCAGCAGCAGCAACAAAGGGAAATGCCCCATTATAAGGATGAAGGGACAGCAGCTCGCTGGCAGCAGGGGCCCCCAAGGAAAGGGCCCCCGTACCCTTCTCTTAGGGGGCCCCCCAGGGGTACACCCGTAAGGAGACAGAGGGACTTCTCTCCCCATCGTCTGCGGCCAAGGGCCTACAGGCGCAGCAGCAGCAGCAGCAACAGACGCAGCAGCAACAGCAGTAGCATCTACAGGACAAGGAACAGGAAGTTCCGCAAGAGTAGCCCCATCAGCAGCAGCAGCAGCAGCAAGGGGCCAAGACAGCAGCAGGGGAGACAGACTGCAGCAAGGACAATGTACAGCAGCAGCAGCAGGCGCAGCAGCAGCAGGACCCGCAGAAGGCGCAGCAGCAGCAATAACAACAACAACAACAACTGCAGCAGCAGCAGCAGAGCAGAAAGACTTAGACGAACTGCAGCAAGCGCGAGGAGGAGATGGCCCCGCAGCAGCAGCAACAGCAACAGCAGCAGCAACAAACGCAGCAACAGCAGCAGCAGCAAAAGCAGCAGCAAATACAAATCCTTGTCTTACCAGCGAAGACATACGCTAGCCCGCAAGCGCCCCCCACCCACACCAATGCAGCAACAGCAGCAGCAGCAGCAGCAACCGCAGCAGCAGCAGCAGCAGCAGCAGCAGCAGCAGCAGAAGCACCGGCTGCGGCGCTGCAGCCCAGAGACAGCGAGGTCCTCACAGTGGGAATACCGTGGTACGCACTGCAGCAGCAGCAGCAGCAGGAACACCAGCAGCAGGAACAGCAGCAGCAGCAGCAGCTGGCAGCAGCGTCAACAGCAGCAACAGCAGCAACAGCAAGAGCAGCAGCAGCCACGCGAGCGCATGCAGCGTAAAATAACCCCATGGGAGCTGGGGGGCCCCCAATGGAGGGACAGAGGCCCCCCAAGGGGACAGGAGCAAGGAGGGGTAAATATCGATGGCAGTAGCAGCAACAGCAACAAACGTAACAGGGGAAGAGGCAGGCGCAGCAGCAGCACCAGCAACAGCAGCAGACGCAGCAGCAGCAGCAGTAGGGGACGCAGAGAGAGGAGTACCTTCCGCGAGCGAAGGAGAGAGATAGATGCAGCTGTTAATGACGCAGCAGCAGCAGCAACAGCTGCTGCTGCTGCTGCTGCTGCTGCTGCAGAAAAGCGCATCGACAGCATCCAGTCATTCGAACAGCAGCAGCAGCAACAGCAGCAGCAACAGCAGCAGCAGCAGCAGCAGCAGCAGCAGTTACCCTTAGATCTGTCCGATGAAAGGGGACACTTTGCTCCTTATAAGAGGAGACAATTGTCTCCTCCCTTAATACAAGAGGAAACGCATGCAGGGGGCCCCCTGTCTCCTTATGGGGGGCCCCAAGGGTACAGGGGGGCCCCCACTGGTGCCCCAATGAGGGGCCCCATGGGGCCCCCACCTACACTAGAGGCAGCATTCGCTAGCAGCACGAAGGTGCAGCAACGCAGCAAAAAAATAAGTGTATCCTTAAGAGGAGACAGTATAAGGAATAAGGACGCAAGGTAGTGCAGCAGCAGCAGCAGCAGCAGCAGCAGCAGCAAGTGCTGCAGCAGCTGCAGTGGGAAGTTATGTTATGCAGCAACAAGTGCTGCAATAGCTGCTGCTGATGCAGCAGCAGCAAGTGCTGCAGCAGCAGCAGCAGCAGCACCAGCACCAATTTGTCTTTTTGTTATAGGGGAGGGGAGGGAGAGACAATAAAAAGGAGACACTTTTCTTTAGGGTATTTATTTGTCTCTTTTCCTGCTGCTGCTGCTGTTGCTTCTGCTTCTTTTGCTGCTGCTCCTGCTGCTGCTACTGTTGCTGCTGCTACTGTTGCTGCTGCTACTGTTGCTGCTGCTACTGTTGCTGCTGCTGCTGCAGCAAATAAATAAATGAGATATAAAGGAGATAAGAAGAAGACATAAGGGACACATTTTATTTATTATTGTCTCCTTTTTGTTCTTTTTTTTGTCTCTTTTTTATTAATTTATATTTATTTATTAATAAAAGGAGACAATTTGTCTCCTTTTTATAAGAAAAGAGGAAGGAGACCATTGGTCATGAAGGAGACCATTGGTTATATAAGTGTCTCCTTTTTTTATTTTATTATATAATATACTTTATTAAGGGGGGCCCCCTAGGGTACAGTTAACGTATCTTAAGGGGGCCCCCAGAAGGGTACAGCTGTACACCTCAAGGGGCCCCCAAGGTAAGGAGAACTAATATCCACTAGATGGGGCCCCCTAGGGTACTATAGCCATTATATACTATGTATACTATGGGGGGCCCCTAGGGTACAGCAGCAACTATATTATAAGGGGCCCCCAGGGTACAGTTGCTACAATATAAGGGGGCCCCCAGAGTGCCACAAGCAATACACATAAGGGGCCCCCGCGGGTACACCCTGCTGCGCATGAAGGGGCCCCCAGGGTACACCTTCTGCACATGAGGGGCCCCCTAGGGTACAATTGCTGCATATGAGGGGGCCCCCAGGGTACAGTAGCTAATCATTACGATACATCGAGGAGGTGACACAGCAGAAGGATAGGAGGGGGCCCCAGGGTGCAAGAAGTACCCTTTAGGGGACCCCTAGTTAATAGCCAATAGGTACAAAAGGGGCCCCAGGATACAGTTGATGAATATATAAGGGCCCCCATGGTACAGGCGCTAGTGTTGGGGGGCCCCTAATTCGTCGGCAGTGGTTAGTTAGGGTTTAGGGTTTAGGGTTTAGGGTTTGGCGGAGGGTATATGTAAGAATAAAAAAAGGCAAATAAAAAGAATAAATAATTAATAATATGATTTATATATTATTTATTTATTTAATTAATTATTTATTTATTTATTTATTTATTTATTTATTCGTGAGGTGTACGTACACCTCAAGCCTGTCGAAGGAGCTAGCCAGCAGCAACCAATGGGTCCGTTGGTTGCGGTGTATACGCAGCTTATTTATTTATATATTTATTTATTTATTTTTTATTTATATTTCCTTTTTCTTCCTTTATTTATCCTTTTATATTAATTTAATTATTTATTTCCTTATAATTACCCTTTTTATGCAGTAATTATTCTTGCTGCTGCTGCTGCTGCTGCTGCGCCTCGTCGTTCGTCCTTCTTACATATATATACAACATATACATATACATATACATATATATACGTAAATTGTATACATATTTATTTATTTATTATTTAATTAAATATAATTATATCTTATTTCCTCTTTTTTTCCTTCATTTATTCATTTCCTTCCTCATAAAAAAAGAAGAAAAAAAAATCCCTTGAGCTGCATGTACACCCGAACTGTGTTGAGAGAGCGCCTGTTGCTGCTGCTGCTGCTGCTGCTGCTGCTGCTGCTTGCTGCTGTTGCTGCTGGTGTTGCTGTAGGCGTCAGCAGCAGCAGCAGCAGCAGCAGCAGACGACGCCCCTTTATGAATAAGAAAAAAGAATAATTATTCTTTTTTTTCCTTCTTAACATCTTTTATTTTATTTATATAAAAAAAACATTTCCTTATTTAATTCTTTTCCCCCTCTTCTTGCTGCTGCTGCTGCTGCTGCTGCTGCTGCTGCTGCTGGAACCGATCGAGCGAGCATATATTGTATATATGTATGCTGCTGCTGCTGCTGCTGCTGCTGTATATACATACACCGCAACAACACCAATAAGGAAGCAGCAGCAGCAGCAAATTGTAGCAGCAGCAGCAAATTCATTTCCTCTTTTTTCTTCCTTTTTATTAATTAATTTATATAAATAATTATTTATAATAATAATAATTAATTATTTCTCCCTATTAACAGCAGCTGCAGCAGCAACAGCAGCAGCAGCAGCAGCAACACCGCCACCAGGCGTCTCGAGACCGATCCCTCCTTGAGCAGCAGCAGCAGCAACAACAGCAACAGCAACTACTACAGCAGCAACTGTAGCAACAACTGCAGCAACAGCAGCAATTATCCATCCTCTTCTTCCTCCTCTCCTTGCTGCTTCTTTTTCTTCCTTTTCTTCCTTCTTAATCAGCTTATTACTACCTTTTTTCATCATCTATAGCTGCTGCCTAGCCCTTGCTGCTGCTGCTGCTGCTGCTGAGGCGCTCGCGCTGCTGCTGCTGCTGCTACTACTATTTACACTAGTAGCAGTAACAGAAGGATTAAACCTTTTTCTTTGCAGCTTCTTGCTGCTGCTGTTGCTGCTGCTGCTGCTGCATCATTTATTTGTTTATTTCGTTTTCTCCTCAGCAGCAACAGCAGCAGCAAGCAGCAGCAACCACGTGCAAGGAGTAACAGCAGCAGCAGCAGCAGCAGCAACAGCAGCGACTGCAGCAGCAGCAACATAAGCTGCTGCTGCAACTATAACAGCAACTGAAACACGAACATTTACAGCAGCAAAACAGGTAATAGCTGCAGCAGCAGCTAACCATAATACTCTAGCTGCAGCAGCAGCAGCAACAACAGCAGCAGCAGCAGCAACAACAGCTGCAGCAGCAACAGGAAATAAAAGCTGTAGATAAACAGCAGCAACAGCAGCAACAGCAGCAACCTGAAAGGAGGCGATATGCAGCAGCAGATCTTAACCTCCCTTTGCTTTAACAGCAGCAGCAGCAGCAGCAGCAGCAGCAGCAGCAACAGAAAGAAGAACACTAACTGCAGCAGTAGCTGTAGTAGTAACAGCAGCAGCAGCAGCAGCAGCAGCAGCTGCAGCAGCAAATATCTACATGGCTTGCAGGCCCCTCCTAACTGAGGAGGACCTTTACAGGTTCCGTACAAAAAGTTGCAGACGTCTATCTAGTGGCGGATGCGAATTCGGCCTCTCGTAAGGGTTTAGGGTTTAGGGTTTAGGGTTTAGGGTTTAGGGTTTAGGGTTTAGGGTTTATAATATATAGTTTAGTATATCATATTCATGACAATTTCATATTTCATATTTCATATTTCAGATCTAGGGTTTAGGGTTTAGGGCTCTCTAGGGTTTAGGGTTTAGGGTTTAGGGTTTAGGGTTTAGGGTTTAGGGTTTGAAATAACACGAACCTATATATTTATATATAGCTCCTCCTTTGTAATTCATTAAATAAATCTTTTTTATTCATACCCTAAACTAGTATTAATTTCAATTAATTTTTCTTCCTTATTCTTTTTTCTAGGGTTTACTATTTTCTAGGGTTTAGGGTTTAGGGTTTAGGGTTTACGAATTTTTTTTTTTTTTTTTTTTTTTTTTT